CTATGACAGATCGGAACAATACCTGTAATGACAGAGTCGGAAGTAATTGCCTCTGTACGAGCAGAAAGAGCATAATATCTAGCCTAGCCTCCCCCTTTAGGGCGACTTCTACCTGCCCGACCTCTACCTCGAGCTGGCTGAGCAGGTGGAGTGGTAGCTGGTACTGTAATCATAGCTTGAGCACCTGGTGGAGCACGCGGTGCCTGAGAAGTCTGTGGAGGTGCACCCCTCCTAAGTCTGGGGAAATCCCTCACCATATGGCGAGTCTCACCATACTCAAAACAAGCTCTCGGAGGGCATGAATGTTGTGGCTGGCTCGGGCTAGGTCGGTTGGACTAACCACTGAAAGCACCCGTGCAGGAGGTGCACTAGACACTGGCAGTGCATAATAAGGCTCCTAGGGCCTAGGAGTAGCCGGAATACCACTGGCAGCTAGAAGTGCTGAATGAACAGGGTGACTAACATAGCCCCAACCATGACAAACTGCAGCTGGGGCACGAGTAACACTATAAGTGCCAGACTCTCGAGACCTTTTGTCCTCCCTCTCCTCTCTCTCCCAAGCAAGCATACCCTCCACCTCCTAGCAATACCCACAACCTGTTGGTATGAAATATCCATCTCTAACTTTCGGACCATGCTAAGCCTGATACTGGGGTGGAGCCCCTCGATAAATCGACGGACCCTCTCTCTAACTGTAGCAACCCAGACTGGTGCATGTCTAGCCAAACTGAAGCGAACCGCATACTCTGACACGGTCATGGAACCCTACCACAACTGCTCAAACTCTACACCTCATGCATCTCTGAGACTCTGGGGAACATACTCCCTCAAGAACATATCCGAGAACTGATTCCAAGTAAGTGAAGTTGCCTCAGCTGGACTACCCAATTCATAAGCACGCCACCATTGATAGGCTGCTCCTCTAAGATGGAACGTAGTGAAAGAAACCCCATTCGACTCCGCTACACCCATAGTATGGAGAATACAGTGACACTACTCAAGAAAACCCCGGGTATCCTCTGACGCTAATACACTAAAAGTAGGAGGGTGGTACTTCTTGTACCTTTCAAGCCTGAGCTGCTCTACATCAGAAACTGCTGACCTAACCTCAAGCTGAACTTGAGCTACTGACTGCACCGGTATGATCTCTAGAACCTGGTTGACCTGAACCTGCTGCTCTGGGTTACGGGCGGTAGGAGTCTGTGCTCCTCCCCCATCCTGAGATGTGGCAGGAGCAAGTGGAATCAATCCAGCCTGAGCCAAGGTGTTGAACATGCTCAGGAACTGTGCAAGGGTCTTCTAAAGAGCCGGTGCAGTAACAAGCATCTCAGGTGCCTGCGCTCCGGTTGGAGATACTGGTGGCTCCTCTGTGGCATCTCGTGCGGGTGCTCTGGCTGCACCACATGGACGTCCTCGGCCTCTACCCCAGCCCCGATCTCTCATGGCTCTAGTAGGGAGCACAGGTGCCTGGTCATCAGATCCACCTATACTTGTCCTCACCATCTGTGAGAGAATAGAAGACAAAAGTTTAGAATTTCGAAATCAACAATTTCGCATGACAAGGAATCAAAGAAGTGCAATTTTCCTATCAGTTCCATAGCCTCCCGAAGATAAGTACAAACGTCTCCATACCAATCCGTGAGACTCTACTAAACCTGCTTGTGACTCATAAAACCTATGAACCTAAAGCTCTGATACCAACTTGTCATGACCCAATTCTCTATCTGTAAGACGTCGTGATGGCACCTAGTCTCTATGACTATGTAAGCCTAATAATTTGCGAAGTAACAAAAATAGAAGCAAAATTTAACAACCAAATTACAATAGATAATTAAATAACTGATAAGATGTCGCTCAACATGTATAATAACCAACACTCAAGTATAAACAGTATTCCCAAAACCCGGTAGTCACGAGTCACAAGCTCTAAGAATTTGTACATCAGTGTCTAAAAGAAATAAAGGAGGAACAATATAAGGGATAGAAGGGGACTTCGAGGTCTGCAAACGCTGACAAATATACCTTGAAATCTCTGGAGTAGTAGAAAGTACGCAACGAATAGCGGAGCTAGTAGGAGGTACCTAGATCTGCACAAAAAACATGTGCAGAAAAGTAGCATGAGTAAACCACAACAGTACCCAGTAAGTGTCAAGCATAGCCTCGGTAGAGTAGTGATGAGATTAGGTTAGGGCCCTACTGGGATATAATAATAAGACATAAGATATAACAACATGATGAGAGACTTGAAATATAACAACAAAGAATTTACAGAAAATAATAACACAGTATATAGTGATAAGCAACAGGGGCGCTCCCGAAATACCGTCTTGTAGTCCCAAAAGTAAATATGCAAGGAGATCTCCCGAGGTATAGCCTCGTAGTCTCAAAAGTAAAAGTGTAGGGGATCTCTCGAGGTACCGCCTCATAGTCCCAAAAGTAAACACACAACTCGAAACCGATGGAAACAATAATTAACAGCAAGACTCTACAGTTAAGACTGATACAAATCAAGGAAAGACAGGAATTCATCTATACATGCTGCACAGATTTCAAATAAGCATGTAAGACACGTAAACATGTGATATTAGGCTAAATAGAATAATTACACATGCTAGTGTAACTCAATTAAGATGTAACAGATTACTACTTAACGAAAAACTAGATTTTTCAACAATTAGCATGTGTACACACTCGTCGCCTCGCGTACATAGTGCTCACAAAACACAGAAGTATCACAAAAGTACCAAATCCTAAGAGAATTTTCCCCCACACAAGGTTAGGCAAGTCACTTACCTCGAACCAAGCTCAATCAATCAGTAAGAATGCCTTTTCCACGATTTTCCAACTCCGAATGGCCCAAATCTAGTCAAAAGCAATTACATATCATAAATATAACTATAATAAACTAATCTAATTAATGAAATTAAGACTTTAGCAAGATATTAGAAAATACGAACACACATTCACCCACATGTTCACTCGTACCAAAATTACTCAAATCAGATGTCAAAATCTCAATTAAAAACCAAAAATTTTGTTGAAGAACTTTTCCCATTTTTTCCAATTTTCTCAACCCAAATCCGAAATTAAAGGATGGAATTAATGATAGATTAGTGGGATATAATCAAAAATAAGTGAAGAATCATTACCCAATTGATGCCTCTGAAAATCCCTAAAAATTTCGTCCAAATCCGAGCTGTCTATCTCAAGTTATGTTAAAAATGGTTAAACCCTCAATTTTGAAATGTTATATTCTACCCAGACATTCCTTTCTTTGCGAAAGCGGAAGACCTCTCGTGTTCGCGAATCCAAATTCCTTCATCGCGAGCGCGATGACCTACTCGTGCATGCAGAGCTCATACAGCCTGACCTTACGTGAACGAGAGACCTTCATCACAAACGCATATGCAAAATACTTGGAGACTCGCTAGACCAATTTTATCTACACGAACGCGAGACCCTCATCGCGAACACATACACTTAGCACCTTAGAGCTTCGCGAACGCGGGACCTTCATCGCGAACGCGAAGCACAAATCCTCTCCTGGCTCTAGCTCCCCTTCGCGAACGCGGTACGGGCAAACACGAACAGCAACTGAACACCAAATTTTTCTGCAATTCCTACAAGTCCAAAACTAGTCCATTAACCATCTGGAATACACCCGAGACCCCCCAGACCTCAACCAAACATACCAACAAGTTCTAAAACATCTTACGAACTTAGTCGAGCCTTCAAATCACATCAAACAATGCTAAAAACATGAATTGCACTCCAATTCAAACTTAATGAACTTTGAAACTATAAACTTGTACAACCGATGCTGAAACCTATCAATTCATGTTCGATTGCACACAAGTCATAATTAATATTACGGAGCTACTACGTTTTTTGAAATCGGAATACGACCTCGATATCAAAAAGTCTACTCCCGGTCAAACTTCCCAAAAATTCAACTTTTACCATTTCAAGCCTAATTCAGCTACAGACCTCCAAATCGGACACGCTCCTAAGTTCAAAATCACCCAATAAAGCTAACGGAACAGACAAAACTCCATTCCGAAGTCCTGTTCATATAGTTCCAACTAAGGCCAAAATCCTAGAACTTAAGCTTCCGTTTTAGGGACTAAGTGTCCCAAATCACTCCGAAATCACAAACAAAACCTCCCGGCAAGTCACATATGCATAAAAAGATGCAGGAAAAGCAGTAAATAGGGGATCGGGGCTATTACTCTCAAAATGACCGGCCGAGTCGTTATGCAACTAATAAGCATTTTATATACATGAGTTTTACCAAAAAGAAAGTCGGAATACCTTGATTTAAAGTTTTTTGAAATGTGAAAAATTGATGATTTGGGAGCCGAAACGAGAAATAGACGAGATCCACTACACGACAATGCCTTAGATCCGGTGTTAGCTTGCTAAAATACAGAGAAAACACAATTTTTGGGGGATGGGTGGGCTCCAATGGAGTGTTTTGGTTAAAAAATGAGGGGGAGGGGAGGGGGACCGTTTTTGTTCCTTTTCATTCTGTCTGGACGGGGAAGAAGAGTGGCTAGATATTTTATATAGGTATAGCGCATATATAGGATGCGCTATACCTACCTATCTTTTCAACTTTCAGTATAGTGTATCATGCATATGCGCTATATGTAAACTTTGCCCGCCAATTTAAAGTTCAAATTTAGCGCATGTAACACATGCACTATACCTTAACGGACAAACGTGTCCTTAAGGTATAACGCGGTGAAGAAATGCGTTATATATAAAATGGTTCTTAATTATTTTTTCACCTATTTATGTACTTTGAGTCCAAAACGATAACATTTTGGTTCCGGACTCTTAGCTATAATTGGGTCTTTGAGAATCTTGAGAACCTAAACAAATAAGAAGTGGGCGTACACTAAGGCTCTCATTATTCAGGAAAGAAACTACCTTCCCTCTCCTATATATATATATATATATATATATATATATATATATATATATATATATANGAGAGAGAGAGAGCGCATTTGATAATGGAAAAGAAAAAGGGAACGATTCTTCTCTTCCCCTTCATGGCACAAGGCCACATTATACCCTTCTTAGCCTTGGCCTTCGGATTAGAACAAAAGGGTTACAACATAATCCTTGTGAACACACCTCTCAACATCAAGAAACTCAAGTCATCTCTCACTCCAAATGCCTCCATTTCCCTTGTTGAGATCCCTTTCAATAGCTCTGAACTTGGCTTACCTCCAAACACTGAAAATACGGATTCCCTTCCTTATAAACTCTGGTTACATTTCATCACAATCTCCTCTTATCTTGAGCCCTCATTCAGAAAGCTACTCTTTGATCTTGTTAAGGGTCATGATTATGAAAAACCACTTTGTATAATATCAGACATGTTTTTTGGATGGTCAGCCAATGTAGCTCATGAATTAGGACTATTCCATGTCATTTTCAGTGGGGCTTCTGGTTTTGGCTTGGCATGTTTCTACTCTTTGTGGCTTAATTTGCCTCATAAAAAAACAAGAAACTTTGCTTTTACTATGCCTGACTTTCCAGAAGCTGGAAATATTGATGTTAGTCAATTGAGCCAAAGTCTTTTAGCAGCTGATTCAACTGATCCTTACACTAATTTCAACAGGGAAAACTTTCTCAACTTTCTCAACTCTGATGGGATTCTTTTCAATACTGTCGAAGAGCTAGACAGGCTTGGATTAACATATTTTCGTCGTAAATTAGGCCTACCAGTTTGGGCAATTGGACCAGTACTTCGGCCCGTGACAGTGAGTGATAAAGGTAAAGATTCCCCAGAGAAATGCATCAAATGGCTTGACCAAAAAGAAGCAAAGTCAGTGCTTTACATTTCTTTTGGCTCCCAAAACACAATTTCAGAATCACAGATGATGGAACTGGCAAAAGCCTTAGTTGATGCCAGTGGAATAAACTTTATATGGGTTGTTAGACCTCCTTTGGGTTTTGACATAAACATGGAGTTTAGAGCAGAAGAATGGCTCCCAGAGAGGTTTCTTCAGTGCATTTCGGAGGATCAAAACAAGGGAATCCTAGTGTCAAAATGGGCTCCTCAGGTTGAAATCTTGGCCCACAAATCAGTTGGAGCATTCTTGACTCATTGCGGATGGAGTTCAGTGCTCGAATCACTTGGCAATGGAGTTCCGCTTCTTGGTTGGCCTATTTCAGCAGAGCAATTCTACAATGCAAACTTGTTAGAGCAAGATCTTGGTGTTTGTGTTGAGGTGACTAGAGGGGGTAATTCTGAGGTTAAGTACGAGGATGTATTAGAAAAGATTGAATTGATTATGGGGGAAAATGATAAAGGTAAAGAAATTAGAAGGCAAGCTTGTGAGATTAAAGAAATCCTAGGAAACGCTATTATAGATGATGAAGAAGCAGATCACCAAGGGTCTTCTGTGAAGGCAATGGAAGAGTTTCTTAATGCAGCTTTCTCCACTAAGTAGATGTCTTGGTCTTGCACGCGATACCCTGAAAAACCTCTTGTGACATTGTATTTGCATGCGGCCTAGTATCATAGGCATACTGGCCGTGCCCTTGACATGTCGTTGGGCTTTGGATGCACATGACACCTTGAACAACCTCTAGTTGTAACATTCACTTAGTGTCATAGGCAATGGCTTGCTCTCGACATGTCATAATGTCTTCGCATTCATGAATAATCGACAATCTGATCTATATTTTTGTATGCATTTATATTAAGTTCCTAATGTAATGGATGCAAACTTCTCACTCGTTGGCTGCAAATTAAATTTCGAATTTGTCTCTATACTCTTACAATTTGGAGCATGGCAATTTGACATAGAATTCTTCTGCCCGCTTACTAATATTTTTTTTTTTAAAATTTATCAATCAAATAAATTGTAATCACCATCCAGCGCAAAAATGTTATGTAAATAATTAATGGGTTAAACTCGCAAATCTCTAGGAGTTCCCAGGTTCGAAATAGTCTAATTATAGCACACTTTTGACCGAAAAGTTCAGATGAATACCTTTAGAATAAAATAAACTTAATTGTATAAGTCATTCCAGCACTACATATGCATATGCACGATCAGTTTATGGATAAAATAACCATTATCGAGCATTAATTGATACCACATGATGCAGTTTAACTTATAATTAAAAATCAGTAATGGAAGATGTAAGAATATTGATGTTTTAATATTCAAATAAAATATGTCATAATCTCTTCTTACTTATCCCATGATCATGAAAAATGATCATAAATAACTCTCAACTGCTGAAAAGCGTTGCAGAGTAAGTATGATATCGAGGAGGGAGGTACAAAAAAAAGATTTGCTAACAGATTTTTTTCGTTTTTAAATGGTGGACAACAAATCAGTAGTAGATCAAGCTCAAGAATTTATAATAATTGGTGGAGAGCTAAGGTCCGATGATATCAAGATTGGATACAGCCTTATTGTTTGTGGCATAATAGATTAATTTTCATCTTAGTGAAAGGAATTTCAAAAAACTATGCCCCACAAAACAAAAGGAAACTTCCCTTGAGATGTTGATAATGCGGATTCGCATGAAGAAGAGGCAAGAGGTCAAGATACACTTTGCAACTCGTCACTACGAAGGTAAATTTAGTTACTTCAAGAAGAATAATGGTGCAAACAACCTAGCACAAAATAAACAAGTTCAAATTGCGAGACCATGTTATTAGGAGTTGTCCTGATTTACTTACCATATTATGTTTTCCTATTTCTTGAAGGAAAGAGCAACATATTTACTACAACACTAAATCGAGATTAAAAAAAACATGCAGACACTAGTGAAGAAGACAAAGGCAAGTAATTATATAGATGGTAATGCTTAAGCATATAAAAGAGTACAAAATATCAAGAGAACAAACTCACAAAGAGACAAACACAAGTGACATAATAGTACTTGTCCCGAAAAGTTCTCCCCTAAACTAGACTCTCGAAAGAGCTGTTTGAGGTATGTTGAATATTTATCTGTGAGAGACACAAAAAAGAAGATTAATTAGCATAAAAGTAGAAGAATTAATGCTCTGCTGTCAGATTAACCGATAATCTGATCTGTAGATTTAGATAGGCAATTTAAATTGTTTTATCTTTCGTGACGTCGTGCTAGCTCGTTTACTAGTATCATTAATTAGCTTGATGATCAGAAAGATTAAACTAGTAGATCGACATATCCAAATCACATCTCTCGTTGACTATCCAGGATTAACTTAAGAATAAGACAACCGTTTACAACTCATTCGAGCAATTAATACATGATACTTATTATAAAAAATAAAAGCTAGAATATCATATGGCACCCCATCTACTACAGACTGCAAGTTGATTATAGATGGGAAGGCAAAACACAAACTTGATACTGTTGGGATTAAAGATTGATGAATGGGAAATGGAGGGAAGAAAGTGGATGGAAAGTGAGTTCCATTTTGCTTTGAAAAGAGTAAGTGTCCCTCGTTTGTAATGACCCGGCCAGTCATTTCATGAGTTACCACTCTGTTTTCCCAGTTTTTGCTTCTTTATGTCTTGTATAACTGTATTTTGTGGTATCGGGTTGGTTGGTTCGGGTTCGGAGTGATTTTTGAAAGGAATGAGACACTTAGTGTCTTTGAGTAAGCTTAAATTGGAAAAGTCAACCGGATGTTGACTTATGTGAAAAAGGTCTCGGATATGAATTCTGATGGTTCGGATAGCTTCGTTAGGTAATTTGGGACTTAGAAGCGTGTTCGGAATGTAATTTGAGGTTCGTGATTTAGGCTCGAATTGGCAAAATTGGAATTTTGGCGCTTTCCGCTTGGTAGTGGAAATTTTGATATCGGGGTCGAAATGGAATTTCGGAAATCGGAATAGGTCTGTTGTGTCATTTATGACGTGTGTGCAAAATTTCAGGTCATTCGAAGGTGGTTTGATAGACTTTTTGATCGTTTGCAGAATTCAGAAGTTTTGGAATCCTTAGGCTTGAATCCGAGGGTGATTTGGTATTTCGGCGTTGTTTTGAGTGTTCCGAGGATTGGTACAAGTTTGAATAGTGTTATATGACTTGTTCGTACTTTTGGTTGAGGTCTCGGGGGCCTCGGGATGATTTCGGATGGTTATCGAGAAGTTGAAAGTTAGAGTTTGTAGCTGAAGTTGCTGAGTTCCTGTCATAACCGCACCTGCAGAATGGGGACCGCAGGTGCGGGCCCGTAGAAGCGTGGAAAGGGTCGCAGATGCGGCCAGGGCTGTAAAAGGGCAGGAGCCGCAGATGCGGGGATCTGAGCTCACCTGTGATGGCGCAGCTGCAGATATTTGAGCGCATATACGATTTTGGGCGGATAAGTGACTTCCGCAGGTGCGCACCTGAGACCGCAGGTGCGAGTAATAAGGAAGCAAGTGCAGTATCACTGGGCAGAAGGTATAAAAGGGTCCCCTTCGTGAATTTTGCTAAGTTTCTCCATTTTTTAAGACGGGAAGAGAGCTAGGGCAGTGATTTTTCTAGGGAATCGAAGGTTTTCAGTTGGGTAAGCTTCTTAAGCTTTATTACTTGTGTTTATGACCATTTTTTTATTGTTTAATCATGGTATTAGTGGAAAATTAGGGAAGAAAGTTGGGAGATTAGGGCTTGGAATTGGAGACGTTGACTTAGGGATTTGAGGGGTCATTTGTGGTCGGATTTTGGTGTATTTGGTATGTATGAACTCGTGAGAGTGTAAGGATTCTAGTTTTTGATTTTTATCGGATTTCGAGATGTGGGTCCAGGGATCGGTTTGGTCAATTTCAGGAGTTTTGAGTTAAATTGATAATTTCCGTATGGGTTTCACTCCTTCAGCGTATATTGATGGTTATATGCTGATTTTGGTTAGATTCGGGACATTTGGAGGCCGAATCGAGAGGCAAGGGCCTCGCGGTTAGAGTTCGGCTTGGCTTGAGATAAGTAACGCTTCCAAACATGGTTCTAAGGGTTCGAAACCCCGAACTATGTGTTCTATGATTACTATTGAGGAAATGTCAAGTGACGGGCGTGTGGGCGTGCACCATGACAATTGCGGTCTGGATCATTCCATGGCACCGTTTAGTAACTCTTTCTTGTTGATATCCGTGTTTCTATCATGTGATTAAGTAAATGTGTTGTGAAAACATGCTAGATATCCTATTAGGGCTTCATGCCAATACTGTTGAAACCCGAGAGGTCGTTTCTTGCTGTCATATCATTAGCTTCATTGATATTTTGTACTCAATCCTGTTCATGCATATTATATCCTGCCTCAGTCTCGATTATTGTTATTTGTCATATCATATCACTATTCGGGCTAGTATCATGACATGTTGAGACCGTGTGTGTGTAAGACTAAAGAATGAAGACTGAGTTAGGCCGAGAGCATGATATTGAGTGACAATATGGGATCAGGCTGCATGCTGCAGCGAGATATTGATCATGCTTTCATTGGCTTATCATAGCGTTTGGGCTAAGAGAAGCCCCTCCGAAGTCTTTACACCCCAGTGAGCGTAGTTGATGATATTGAGGGATGGATCTTCCCTGGACATGGATCTTGTCTGAAGTATCGATACCGGAAGATGGTTCTTCTCCGTAGGGCTGGAATGGTCTTCCTCGGTACTAGATGACTACGGTCAGTGATGTACATATATTCCGGGATGGATCTTCCCTGGGCCAGGTGGCCATATACAGTACTGAGTGGTTGAGCACTTGTGAGTGGAGGTATACAGAACATTGATCATGCTAGTTATACATTGGTACTTAGAGATTTCCTGAGCTTTATACTCTGTACTAGTCATATTGTATTTACATATTGTTGAGTTTTTACTTGAATTGCAAGCATGATTACTTTGCCGTATAGTTTATTTGCATACCTATTGAGGTTTGGTTCGTCACTACCTGTCAGTCCATAGTTTGGACTTGATACTTACTCAGTTGGTGTACTCATATTACCCCCGCATCTTGTGTGCAGATCCAGGTATCTCGGGCCACGGTAGCTGCTGCTGATCATATCATTATGGACTTTTCCTTGGAGATTGCGAGGTAGCTGCTTGGCGACCGCAGTCCCGCCTTCTCTTTCCCTATCTTTCTTTAATACTTTTGTTGGATATTCTTAGACTATGTAGTTTTGTTTATTTCGAACATTTGTAGTAGTTTGCTCATGACTTAGCGACACCTGAGGTCGGGCTTGTACTTTTTTCCGCTTGTTTGGGTTTTATACTTTTACCTTTTATCGGATTTCTGTTAAAGTATTGTTTTTCTTAAGTTTTAAAGGAAATATGGAGTATTTGAAAATAAGTTGCCTGGCCTAGTTTTACGATAGGCACCATCACGATTGGGTCGATTTTTGGGTCATGACATGTTGGTATTAGAGTCTAGGTTACATAGGTCTCACGGGTCATGAGCAGGTTTAGTAGAGTCTCGCAGATCAGTACGGACTGTACTTATCCTCATGAGGCTGCAGAACCTTTAGAAAAAACTTCATATTCTTGAATTCTTGCCGTGCGAAACTGTTGATTCTGGTACTAAACTCATGTTATTCTATTCTCTCAAAGATGGTGAGGACACGTGCTACCGGTCAGGACGGACGACCACCAGTACCACCAGTTGGGGCCACTAGAGGCCGAGGACGCGGTTGAGACCGTGGTAGGGGCAGGGGTGTAGCCCGTACAACAGCTAGGGCAGCACCTGTAGATCCACCCACTGCCCCAGTTCATGATCAGGCTCCACCGGGGGATGCTCCAGCAGCACCAGCTCAGGCACCGACTATGCCTATTGTTATTCCGGGTCTCCAGGA